TTGTATCAAGTAAGTCGTAATGGGTTAGCTAAAATGTGGAAACAGAATAAAATATTATTGCAAGTTATGTTGTTCTGCACTTCTTAAATCTCATGTGACTGGTGTTCCAACTGGTTCACCTGACGGAACACCATTCACATCAGACTTGAGAAGTCCAGAACATCAAAACTTACAATTACATTTTATTCTGTTTTCACAATTTAGCAAACACATTACGACTTACTTGATACAAATCACATCTTCAGCGTTGACATCAGATTATATAACTTAATCAAATTTAGATGTGCGAACTGCCTAAAATTTCCTCTCAATCAACCTTTGATCATTGATGCGAATGATTTTTCGACTGCTTATCAATCAAGGTTATATGGATCACAAAATAACTCCATCTCATTGCCTCCGAGAAATTAAGAAACTCTCCATCAACATAACTCCATCTCAATGAACAGTACTTGGCTTGTTCTCCCATCTTCCTCCTTTCTTGCATTCAATGATTTAAGTTATAGAAAAACAAATAAGACAATAGTAAAATAAGTGTGTCTATTAAAACAGCATTAAAACATGTCTATTAAAACAGCAAAGACAATAACACCATAATCACACGATAATAAAACAATAAAGCCACAGCAATTAAACTCTCTTAAACAGTACACTATCACAATAATTAAACCATAATAATACCACAATAACCCTACAATAACACCAACATCCATTGTTAATAAAAATAACACGACAATACTACAAAGATAATACCTAGTTAACACTATAAACCATTACCCCACAATAACACCAATAGGAAGGACAATAACACCATAATCACAAGATAATAAAACCATATAGCCGCAGCAATAAAACTCTCTTCAATAGTACAATAACACAACAATAAAACCATAACAATACCACAATAACCCTACAATAATACAAACATCCCTCGTTAAAAAAATAACGCGAGAATACTGCAGAGATAATACCGCAAAGACAATAACATCATAATAACACAACAATAAAATCATAAAGCCGCAGCAAAAACGTCTCTTCAACAGTACAACAGCACAACAATAAAATCATAATAATATCACAATAACCCCACAATAACACCAACATTCCTTATTAACAAAAATTACACGAGAATACTGCCAAGATCTGGATTGTTAAACACAAGCACAGAAACAAATTCGAATAAAATGAAAACCACTAAAGTAAACTCCGATAAACCCACAGAAATAAATTGTTAAACACAATCAATAATATGTCAGACCTATATCTCAGATAATAAACTAGCCTTTCATAAACCCAGACAAATGCCAGAAGTATCTATAAAATCAAAAAATAAAACTTATTAAACCTACGATATACCTCAGATCTGGATTGCAAAAAACTCGCACAGATCAACAAACTACATAATGGAGAAGCAGAGTGGATTTGTACAGATTCGGTGCAAGAAACTAAACTCGCACATATCTGGAAGTGGTTGTCGTTCTCCTCGTCGACAGAGCAGTCCTTTTCGGCAGCTCCAAACCCTAAAGTGTGAAACTAAAGTGAGGGATAACCGGGAAAGGGCCTTATGCATGAAATTTTCGGGAAAAAGAAATATCAGGTCGGGTCGGGCGTAAGAAATTAAAATTTTTAAGGTGAAAATCCACGTGGAATCGAATTCCACGTGGCGAATTTTTATTCGGTACCGCATGTAGGAGTTCATGCGGTGCACGTACCGAATAAAAATTCATAGGAATTGAGTGGTAAATGCAACTTTAATTTTTCATATTTTTCTTCTCTTTCATCTTATTTGAATCTTTAATTGGCAAAGAAGAGAGCATTTTCTATCAGTTTTACTACATATCATATGAGGCTAAGTTCAATGGTCATCATATTAATGCTTACCTCTATCACCTTATCTATATAAGTGTCATAAACATATTAACTTGAGAACCCTTTGGCCTTTATATAAGCTCATATTTGTTGCCCTACTTATACTGGTTACATCTTCATATAATGCTCACCTTTGTCATCCTACCTCACTTTATCGCCCCACTTACACATGTATCATAAACAAATCATTATCAATTTATCCCTCATATTATTCCATTTCTTACACTCCACATGTTTCCATTATTGCATATTTAGAAAAACATATAATTTAGTTTAAAGTATGTTGAACAGTATACATAAATATGCAACTTATAAGTATCAAATACCTTTAATTAGAAGTATCATCAACAAACAAAATATTTATATAATCACAATGAATTTGATTCAAGCTTGAATAAATAAAACTAGTATGTAGTCAAACTCAATAATAGTGGGCGTAAGCATAATTTCTTAAATCTGAAGAATTTCTATTATATTTTACAACTTTCAATCAAATTTACACCTATATACGAATGTAAAAGATTCAAAAATTTGTGCGTACTATGTTGGAAATGATTTATCCTGCCGAATTGGACTCCCCAAAACTTCTTTTTGTAAATGATTTTATATTAACTTACTCATACAAGCCTATAAATCGATCACTTTGATTAAAAATTAATTTGTTAAGAAAAATACCAAAAATCCAAAATTTAAATCAAAATCTAACATTCTTACCTTAACCAATTTCCTTATTTGGCCTTTCTCCTTTCCCAATCCTCTTATTTTCGTCCTCTTCTCCTCTTCTCCTTCTCTTTTTTCATTTCTTCCTTTCCTAATTTCTTCCCTATTTTCCCTGGCCTACACTGCTCGGGCCACAATTTGCTCTCTGTTCCGTCCTGCGTGCAACTCTTGGGATTGGGGAAATTGAGGGCTGCTAAGTGCATAATATTACAAACCCATGTTACTAATATAGGTATATAGCATTCTGTTTAAAATCCACTCGCTTCATCCAATCGTTGGCTAATAAACCACCGTTGAATGCAATGGTAAGTGGGGAAAGGCTAATTATAATAATCTGAGGCTTTGCACGGTAAAATCAGAAAAATAAATAATAAACCTTCGATAAAATAAGTTAATAAATTTAATTGATAACTTAAATCTATAATAACTAATAGGAGATTTATATGTGTATACATTCATACATCAAAATAATTCTAAGTAAATTTGAAATTAAATCAAAATAATTTTAATCACTTTTCTGAAATGCGAAAAATAGGTAAAAAATTTTAGCACTTATCAAATAACCATATTCTTAATTTTGAACGTTTAAGTCACATCCTAGGCCAAGCCCTTTGCTGTTCTAATTTCTAACTCCACATCAAACTCAACATCTCCAAAGGCCATAAAAGCTTCCTAAGTAGAGAACAGTAAGATGAAAAAAAAGACATAGTAGCATCAACGAGCAAACTATTATTAAAAATAAAGATGAAAATGAGAAAGAGAGAGAGAGAGAGACTTGGAATTATTACCAAACTCTTCTGACTCAAAGACTGCTGGACTAAGCCAAAACATAAATTATGTTGAACTTGGAATTCCGCAGGTTTAGTTAAAAACTTGTATTTAAAATTTATTTCAAAAAAGATAATCAAAAAACATATATATATATATATATATATATATATATATAGAGAGAGAGAGAGAGAGAGAGAGAATGCACCTTATCCTCAGTATAAGAATGTTTTATAAAAGCAAACCAAAACGGCTAAAATAAAATAACTAAAACATTATCAAGGCACATGATTTAAATTTCAATAAGTATAGATTTTAGACTTGCATCAAATAGCTTTCATCAATAACTTTCCAGATATTTTAGATCCATCTAAATCATTCATTTAGATATTCAAAACTTCATTAGTGGTAATGGTGATATGAGTACATTGTAGTTCTACAAGGTCGTTGTTAGCCAAGCCCAAGCTCTAATCATTCAGATATAAATTAGGGAAGATTAAAAGGCTAAAAAAAAATATATTTTTAGTCATAAATATAATTTGGAGGAGCCCTTAGCCGTAAATAACATGGCTTGTAATTACAAAATGAACACAGGGTATATATAGATTCCATAGATATTTCTAGATGAAATACAAATCTAACTGAAGAGTTGTGAAACAATTATCCATGGGTCATATTCCAAAATCGGGATTGACTCTTTTCTTACACATGAATTTTTGTATTATCTATATATCCATATACTATCTTCATTACAATATAAATGCAACATAAAGTTTAGAATCCTATGCGGCTCTTAGAACTATTAAGTTACAATTATGTTTTTATTAAAACATGGAATTTGGAATTTATCAATAAACAAAGAATTAAAGAAAGAATAAGTAGATCATTATGTTGTTTCCACAAATTGAAAATATAACAAAAAAATAGTTCAAATAATGACAAAACCAGTTATAAAACTTCTAAAACCTGACTTTCCACTTCCCTCGACACATTAAATGTAACTAATTATGTGCTTTAAGCAACTTTTTGAACCCAGAAAATAGCTGATTACATAACTGAACTTAAAAATAAATAGAAATAAAAAAGAATAATGGTGAAAAAATTTTTAAAAAAACGGAACTTATATTAAAGGGTCTACCTAGTACTTAAGTCAATCAGATATTTGGTACTACATGGACAAATGTCAAAGCACTAACTTGTATCTAGGCTGCATGTGTTTATGCTAAATATGTAATAAGATTTCGATACCGATTAGTATATCTATATTTTAATGCAAAACATGGAACCATGATGAAGTGTCATAAAACTGAACATAGAACCAAAAAAATGCCACGACAACATTAATACAATAGATATGATCTAATCTAAACTGTATTAGGACGGTCCAAGAACAAAGACGAGTCCCCAAGTCTATAGCTAGGCATATTTGAAGCAACAGATTATCACCGTGGTGTTTTCTTTCTAAATATATCATCATTCTGTTATTTGATTCAAGAGATTGCTTAGAAGTCAAAATCAATGCTTTTAACGGATAATCATTAATGCTCGTTTAAATCACAAAAAAGATAAATTATACTTATCATTTAGAGAGCAGCATGTTGCACGACGAGTAACAAAGATATCGCCTAATAATGATTGCTTACTTTGAAAAGGATGGCACGGTGCCTGCAGAGTCCAAAAGAGAGGCTACCAATAGAAATAACTATATGTTGATGGAAATGTTTTAGCTCTTCACTACACATTTTCCATTTCTGATGAAGTTCTCCTTGTTCTGTTTTGAAGGCACCACTAGACAGCAAGAAATGTAGCAGATATAAGAAAATAGACGAATGAAAAAAAAGAAATTTTGAGATTAAAAAGAGATAATTATACCCCATATAATGGGAAACAAGACCAGCAAGTTGTTTCACCGTAACTAACGAAATCCCAAACACAGAATAATATTCTAATGCCTTCTTCTCGAGTAGCTTGAGGCGAGAATCTTCATTTCTATTAATGAAAACAACCTCCATAGAACATTCGATAGGCTCGACTTCGTTGAGTGCTGCCAAACTAGGCAATCTTTTACCTTCTTCCGTATTATTGCACATCGCCCACAAAAACGGGTCCATTCCCAAAATATTATAAAAACCATCCGTTATTTTATCAGAGAAAGATAAACATCCATTGACCTGAAAATAATTTCAGCAGTTTTATAACTCTGAACAGTATGATCATTTCTAATTACTTCTTCTCTTTCAAGGAAAAAAATCAAGAGCAGGGAATTCACAGGGAAAAAAAATCATGTAGGTGATTGGTACCAGGGAAGCAACAATTATAACAAAACAAGAAAAAAAAAATAGCAAAGGAAACTCGTCCATCATAATAAATCTGGTTATTACATAGCACAATTCCAACCTCTAGTAGAAAAGAACATACCCAGAGACGATAAGACACGGTGCTGCTGTCAGAGGACGTAACACAAATCTCCTGTGCTGACTCCTGAAAGAAATAAGGCTGATATGCAAGGAATGCCTGCGATGCCAATCTGGTCGCCAAAGTAAACTGAGGATAGTTGTTATCCCTCGCCTTTTGCGCAGAACTCGGAGAACACAACTCTTCCAAATCCCCCACAAAGGCATGCTTATCCCCATCATCCCACGTTTTCCAAGTTACATCTTCCGTAGCTCCAGATAAAGAATTTCCATCGAAGCTACTACACCCATCGCCGCTTGACAGCCTTCGGAGCTGCTGTAGCGGCACCTTGTCTTGCCCATCGATCATATCCCCAGGCAGCGGGGAAGGCGATCTCGCTCGAAGAATTACGCGCCAGTCGCAATCCGTTGGCTGGATCTCGATAACGTGATCAAGCAATCACACGGATGATCGATGGACGGCAGCTGCCGGAAAGCCGCTCCTCACCGACTCTAACACATTCCGACGGGCCTCACGGGATCCACGCACCCGACCCATCCGCATCATTCGATTCTTAAACCCCCTTCTGCGCCCAAAAATCCCTAGCACTTCACTTCCAATTTCAAGAAAATCAAATTCCTCCAAGGGGAAGATGATACAGCCCACCATGACTGAGCTTGATCGCGTAACCGATCAAGGCGGCGCAAATGCGGTAGCTGTTTCCGGCGTTGTGCGCTCTGTTTTCGTTGAAGGCCGATCGAGGACTTGGAAAGGCTGCCGGAGAGGGAAGTGCGAGGAAGGAATTAAAAAATGGGCGCGCGAAATGCTAGTCAAGATCATGTCACGGCGCTCGCTCTCCCGCCATTGTCCTCTTATAAGCCATGATTTCTTCGGCATTCGACGCGTCATTAGAGAGGCTGGGACGGGCTCGGATGCGCGCGGGTGGGAGGCGGTGTGAAGCGACCAGGTTAGAATGGACTTCGTTTCCTCTGCCTTATTGGCAGGCGAAAAGGGCGGCCGTGTCTCTTGTGGGTAGTTGACATGCTTCCCGTGCTGCCCGGGTCAAAGCGGAACATCGATTGGTTATCTGAGCGGCCGCATATAATTACACATTATTTTCGTCACCAAGAAAACAATATGCAACAATCACTTGGAGTTTTATTCAAATTAAAGTTATTTATACGATAAGATTCTCCAACATAAAATATTTATTTGGGGGCAGTAAAATTTATGGGATAAATCACATTTCTTATGTATTTATATCTAGACTTCTAGACTTCCGTATTTACATGATAATGCTAATGGTTTTAACATCACTTTAGTGTTTGGCTATAAGGAAGATTTAAGTTAAATAAAATTTAGTAAATCCGCTAAAAATCTAAATTTTTTAATGGATTTACTAAATGTTTTTAATGGATTTACTAAATCTAAATATCATTAAATCCAAAATAATATTTGGTTCAATTAAGTTTAAAATCATTTAAATCCATTTGAGATATTTGACATAAATTTATTTGAAATATTTTTTTTCTATGCTAAATTTGTTAAATCCAACTAATAAGTGAATTTAGTAAATCCGGATTTAATTAATGGAACAAGAAGAAATTGGAGTTTAACTTAACATCGGATTTATCTAACATATGTATGGTATTTCGTTGCATTTAAGTTAAATCTAACTTAAATCTTATTAAAAGTATCATACCAAACAACTCTTAAAAATACTAATATCATTAGTATTTAAAAGGTGAAATACACTTGTTATTTATAAGTTTATCATATCAAAATTTGATTTTGCTCAAGTTCCCAACCCCTTCCAACGTGCCTTACTCTTCTGCTCAAGTTCCGAGCCCCTTTGTGTTTTTAACCATAAAGCCAGCTTGTGATTTAAGGCAATGACTTTGTCTGATTAGATGATTAACGTTGCATTTTTTAAGAATATTGCCGTAAATTTTGATTCTTGACATTGCTTATTTTCAAAAGTTTGGTCTTTTTTTAAGATTTTAAGGGCCTTTTCGAGTTTTACTCTGCTCTTTGCAGTTAAGAACATTGCATACAATGTTTTTTTGAACATTTGAAGCCCAAATTTTTTGAGTTTGGAGATTTTTTTTTCTGGTTTATTCTTATTTTCTTCTTTGCTTAAAATTTGGACTTCCTTTATTGTCTAAGAGATTTTGGGTGGAATGATTTGGTTGCTTTGGTAAGCTTTTTGCATACTTTATTTCCATAGGATAACAATGCTCCGGCGAAGTATCCTCCTCCAGTTAGCCTCCTTCTTACGATAAGCTTTTGCTTATTTTAATTTAAGAATTTTAATTCTTAAAGCATTTTAAATTTTAAAATCTTTAGTTAATTTTTTTGGCTAGGTTAATCCATCCTAACCCTAACTCACTTAGTCAAAATCGTAAATCTAACCCTGGTCTAACCCAAACCAGACCTAACCCTGACCCAGCCTCAACCTAACTCACTTAGTCAAAATCCTAAACCTAACCTAAGTTTGAACAAAACCAAGCCTGACCCAAACCCATACTCACTTAGTTAAAACCCTAAACCTAACCTAAGTCTGACACAAAACAGACTTAACACCTAACCCAGATCTAACCCAAACCAGACCTGACTTGAACCCTAACCAAACTCAAATCTAACCTAACCCAAGCCTGATTTAAACTCTATACTAAACCCTATACTTAAAATAAAAAGCAGCTCAAACTTCAACCCAAACCAAATGTCAAACTCAAAGTTAGACCTAACCCAACTTAGGTCTAACTGATCCCGATAAAATATAGTAGTGTAAAATTTATATAAGTTTGACTCCTCCATGTAACGGTGCTAAAAACTTGATTCAATATGTATGATTAAGAAATTTAAGCAATTAATATTGGGATTCTACGCAAATATACGTATCGTGCTTCAGTTAGACCTATACAACAAGATTTTTGGGATTAAACAATAATACTATGTAACTATGTTTATGTGATGAAGATTTTCTTATGTGAAAAAGCATCTTTCCCACTACAACAAGATTTTGGTAAAATGAGATGAGATAAATGGTTTATTATGTATTGTGCCAAATAGAAGCAGTTTTAATTCTCTAACCTGATACAGTGTTATAAAAAATCATTGGTTAATCACAAGTTTAGTCCCTAAATTTGTGGTCAGGCTAGGATGATACTGGCTCCCACTCCAAAGCTCCTACTTCCCTTCACCTGAAGGCTAACTCTCGCTTTAGTTTTTAAACACTAAGACCGAATTGGGGATTTTAGTATGTCACCCTAAAATCTCCAATTCTACACCCAACAATGTATATTTCCCTATTTATTTGCACTTAATTTCATGAACGAAATTCTCCTTCATAGAATCAAATGTGATCCTTACTCTGTTGTAGAACTCATACTTCATTTCCCAGATCATATGTTTCACAACACATTTTAACAATTCAATTGGTCATATCGAAAAGTAAATTAAGTCCAGAGTTGAAAAATCATCACAATTAATTTTATATTTTAATATTGGCACATCCATATTATCTCTTCATTTCACCATATCTCAGAGTAGGGAGAAAGATAAAGAAAACTACCCAGACTTCATCATAAAGATAGAAAAAAAACATAAATTTCATATATAAAAGAAAGTTCATACAACACTAATAAACAAACAACACTTATCTGAAACTCTTTTTCAAAGCAAATCCCTTGTAGCCTGTCCTAGGAAATGTAGGAAAAAGAAATCTCTCACTTTTCTCCTTCTCCAACACTCTTAGAGAAGAATTCACACTTAATCTCACCACAAAAATTCTAAACTCTTAAAAAAAATCACTAAAGACTCCTGAATGGTTGTTGAATGAAAATGAAAAAAGTGTATGAGGGCGAGGTGTGGAAAAAATGAGCAAGTAGAAATGAGGAGGAGCGCCTTTTCTAGTTAATTTTGGCCCCAAATAGAGCTTAGAGTCGGTTCTCCAATAGGTGCATCCAAAAATTCTTAAAAAAGCGTCCAAATTTGTTGAATCTTCAAGAAATAGGGTTTGAACCGACATTGGCGCAGTCGGCGCCAGAAACCATTTAATTAAATATGCCCTCTCTATCAAAAGGCGTCATCGGCGCTGAGTAAAATCCATTAGTTGTTTTGTAAGTGTGCGTCGTCAGCACTGAGTATTTCTTCAAAAATGTCATTTTGACTCCAAATTCCATCATTTTTACTTCAAGTCCTAAAAATCAACAAATGTAAGAAAACATAAAAATATCTTCCATTAAAGTGCAATATCACCAAAAATGAGTATAAAATATGGGTCTAAAAATGCATATATTTTTTGTGTATCAAAATCCCCCAAACTTACATGTTACTTGTCCTTAAGTAACTCCTTTATTACATAAAAATATGACTTATGGTAAAGAATTTAACTTCTAGATTTACAGATTTTAGTCTACTAAATATAATAGCATAACTTAAGAAAAATTTAAAACAACTCTAGTTAATACTAAAGGTATAAAAATTTAGCAATCAAAATATTTAGCAATCAAGTCCAAGATTTCTGATTATCTATTCCTTTCAAGAAAAATTGTAAATTGTCATAATAAAGTCACTTAGAATATTCATATGAAAAAGAACTTCATAAAACTTTACTAGTAAATAAACTAATACTAAAAAAAAAGTTCAAAAAATGTAGTCAAGTCTTAGTCCTTAAGTTGATTCAAGTGAAGCTAATTTTTAATTAGATATTTCCTCAAGCTTCTCCTCACATCTTTTTTCTTTTCTTTTCTTTTTCTATTCAGGATCATTTTCAATCCTTTTTTGTTTCTTTTTTTTTCTTTTCTTTTCTTTTTCTATGTGAGGATTACTATATCTGGATAGCCTTTAATGATTTTGAACTTCACTATCCTCCTCTTAAAGTTAAGAACTTTTCATATTCCTTCACTTAACAAATTTATATTAGTTTAAAGATTTCATAAAGTTTAATTCTTTTTTAAAATGAATCTCTAAGATTTCTAATACTTCAAGAATACAAATTTCTTTACTTAAAATAGAAAAACATAGTCTTATTCTTTTATAACAAAATATCTTATATTAAACTATGTTTATGTGATGAAGATTTCTTATGTGAAAAAATATCTTTCCCATTACAATGAGATCTTGGTAAAATGAGATGAGATAAATGGTTTTAATATGTATTGTGTCAAACAGAAGTACCTTTAATTCTCTACCCTGATACAATGTTATAGAAAATCATTGGTTGTTCCCAGGTTTAGTCCCTAAATCCGTGGCTAGGCTAGGAGAATACTAGCTCCCACTCCAGAACTCCTACTTCTCTTCACCTGAAGGCTAACTTTTGTTTTAGTTTTTAAACACTAAGATCGAATTGTGGATTCTAGTCTGTCACCCTAAGAATCTCCAATTCTACACCCAACAATATATATTTCCCTATTGTATATTTCCTTATTTATTTGCCCTTAATTCCAGGAACAAAATTCTCCTTCATAGAATCAAATGTGATCCTCACTCAATTGTAGAACTCATACTTCATTTCCAAAAGAGTCACTTTTCTGATCAATTTTTGCCCCAAATAAAGCCTAGAGTCGGCTCTCCCAAAAAGCATAATGTCAGTTTTTCAAA